CTCATAGCATCGAATTCTTCAGCATTGGCCACTTCGGTGTAGCCGTTTTCCACCAAGTTTCACAAATCTTGCGATTTGAAAAGAACCTTCATTTGGACGGACCAGTTATTGAAATTCCTCCCGTTCAACTTTGGAAGTTGTAACTGAACGGAACTAGTAGATGCCATTTCTAGCTCTGATACCAAATGTTGGAACCAAAAGAATAATAATAAACTTTGGAAACTTGGAATAAGAGCACAAATAATTATTGGAGGGAGAACTTTTTATTTAGAAAGCTTTGTCTTTGTGGCTTTGTGTTTGGCTTGATTTACAACTCACGACTTCATCCCTTTATAGAGGAATTGAAGTTCACAAACTCCAATGATTACATTTAATAAAGAAAACATAACAATCCACAATCATTAAGAAAGACAATAAAACAGCTTAATCTGTTGAAGAAAAACGAAGCCATGTTGTAGTCTTTATGACTCTTCTTTAACGCTTATAGTTTCCAGCAACTGACGTGCTCAATCACACCAATAATCAATTTTATGTTCTACCAACAAGGACACCCTCGTGGCCACAGGCGAAGGGCTGTCACTAGATGAATGTTCCCTGTAACTGCCTTGTGATAAATTAAATGAGCAAGTATTCAAAATTTGATTTTTATTTTGGGTTAATATCACGAAAACCTCAAATTGGTACACTTATAACAAATTTACCTAAAACTAATTTTTTGACCAGTAAAAATCCTAAACTGATATGCTCGTGACAAATTTATACTATGTTTTATTGTGAAATTTTTGAGTTTGACGACATATGGCAGTTGATGTGTATACCAATTTGGGGTTTTACCCTTCATTTGTTACAGGTGTACTAGTTTGTGATATTTCATAGTATTAATCTAATTTTTTTTTGGTCGAATAGTATTAATCTAATTCAACAGAGGGTAAATTTGCCACAAATGTACAATTTTGGGGTTTTTGGTGGTCAAAAAATTATTTTTAGGTAAATTTGTCATATATGTACCAATTTAGGGTTTTTCGCAATATTAACCCTTATATTTTAGGGATAAGTGCATTAGAGGTCCTAAAACTTATCACGAAAATGTAATTGAGTCCTAAAACTTTCAAAAAGTGCAAATAAGTCCTAAAACTTGTCATGAAAGTGCACTTGAGTCCTAAAACTTTCAAATAGTGCAAATAAGTCCTAAAACTTGTCACGAAAGTGCAAATAAGTCCTAAAACTTGTCACAAAAGTGCAAACAAGTCCTAAAACTTTCAAAAAGTACAATCAATGGAAGGACTTGATTGAACCAATTTGACAAGTTTTAGGACTTGTTTGCACTTTCGTGACAAGTTTTAGGATTTGTTTGCACTTTTTTAAAGTTTTAGGACTTAAGTGCACTTTCTTGACAAGTTTTAGGATTTGTTTGCACTTTTTGAAAGTTTTAGGACTCAATTGCACTTTCGTGATAAGTTTTAGAACTTTAAATGCACTTATCCCTATATTTTATATATATTTTCACTTTCTCCCTTGTTTCTCCTTCCTTTTCCTTGTGTGGCTTTGAGTTGTGGCTTCATTACACCACCTCTAAAGATCCAGCCATTTAAACGAGCAAGTATCGCATAAACTAAATTCATCAGATCACGGCAATCACATATTTAAAAATTTGTGGGTCCCATAAAAGAACACACGTTTCCATACAATTCTTGTATTTTGATTAGTTCTGTTTGTCCCATCTTTTTATGCATTGAGTTTATACGAAATTTTCTTAGCTTACACTAGGCACGGAATAACGCTTGCAACTAATGAATAAGCAATTGGTGGTATCGCAAAATTTCTCTAACACGGTAATAATTCAATAGAGAATTCAAGAGCACCTTAATTCCTGCAGAATAAAAAGAGTGGGTGTAAGAATTCACATCATATCTTTGAAGTCACACGTTGCTTTCCAGCACATCATTTCAAACGAAGTTTTACCATAACGTTCCTCTAATTTGGTATCTAGGGTCTTGATGAAGCCTACGAGCTTTCTTATAACTTGGACATGCTATTTTTGGGATCAATTTATCAGGAATGGGAATGATTCCCGACACCAAATCTTATCTGCAATCTGCATAAAATGTTTCGGCCAAAATCACCGTCTTTGGCCGAATAATTCGCGAGTGGCGCAATTTAACCTATTGACATAACCCCTTTTGACTAAACTATGCACTCACTTTTTTGTGATTCACATTGATGGTCTACTACTGTCCCAAACAAAAGCAATGTGAACTCAACAGAGAGAGACCAAGACCTACCAAAAAGGCGTGGTCGTCCCCGACCAGAAAAAGCCGTGGATTGAGAAAGATGACGATAAAAAGTTTTATTAAAGGGACATCCACGATGGCCACTACGATATGCTGGAATTTGGATCCTTTCTTTTCACTTTGCTTTTTCCTCCCAACAAGTCAAAATTCTCAGTTTCCCTATGAAGCAAGAATAGGTTTGGCTTATCTCGAAAAAAAATAAATAAAAAATTGCTGCTTTAATCAGAGAGTAATCGAGATGCTTTGGGGACAATATAATGTGGGAGCTACTCCTATTAAAAAAATAAATAAAGTAAAAGTAAATAATAATAATTTTTCAGAGAAAAAACCAAATTTAGTGCGTTTGCCGGGAGTCGAACCCGGGTCTATTGCTTGGAAGGCAATTATCCTCACCGTTGGACTACAAACGCCGTGGCGCTATGAGGAGTAAGTTGTATTTTTATATTCCTTTATTTTGAGTCCTGTTTTGCAAACGTGCAAATCATCGACGCTTACAACCGATGGGAAACTGAACTTCACTGTTTTTTCATCTATAGTTGAAGGACTTCAATCAAAACTAAACTTTGGTAATATATATTGTCTCGATCCCAAGCGGCCCGTGACACCGGCGTCTTACATTTCCAGTTGGACAAAGAGAGAAGAGAAGAAAAAAGATAAAAGTGACGAGCATGACTCGGCCCTCCCTAAGATGCATCATGTGTCGTGCCCACACGACCCTCGTACGCGGAGCGATGCAAGCCGCACACTTGAGATCGATTAGTAAATATTTTGTACGCAGATTGCGGCGCGAATGCACTTGTATATATTGTCACGCTCCAAATCCTAGCGGAAAAGGGGAATGACGTGGCCATCCTTCCTCCCGAAGGACGGAGCCTCAAAGCATCCAAAGAACCAACTCCTAAAAGTCCCCATCGAAATCGTTCTTGCTTTATAGCAACTAACCGAGGAACCTGAAAAGATTGGGAATGAGAGGGGTGAGCAACCACAGCTCAGTGAGTAGTGCATATTTCTTTTCAACAGATCGAGCAAAGAAACTCATAATCCAAACTCAAGGTGTAAAATACATATCGAATCACATATGAGTTGCTTCATTTCAACAAAACTTTGTACAAGTCATAAATATTCATTTAAATCCACTATCACAATTCTAATATCAATGGTCAAGTCCATTGATCAATTTCTATAAAAACCATGTCAATGGTCCATTTCATTGACCAAACTCGTATCACATCATATCTCAAGGCTCTAGAGGTGGCTCTCATGAGACTCACGTCATCATGTAGTACTTAGCCCTTAAGTAGTGCAAGACCCTCGATGTGGCTCCCATGAGACTCGTATTACTGTGTAGCACTTAGCCCTTGACCAACACATGTCAATGGTACAGGGCCTTAAAGGTGGCTCCCATGAGAATGGCATCACCGCGTAACACTTAGCCCTTGACCCACAATCAAGAGTATAAGGCCCTAGAGGTGGCTCCCATGAGAATTGTATCACCGTGTAGCACTTAGCCTCTAACCACAATCAACAATACAAGGCCCTAGAGGTGGCTTCCATGAGAATCGCATCACCTTGTAGGACCTAGCCCTTGTACGATATGCATACTCACAACTCTTCACTAGGTTCCTAGCGATCATAAACATTAATCCATCTTCCCCAATAATTCACCAAACAAATCTAGAATATATTTCACAAATTGGTTTCACAAACTAAACCAAATAACCCTTCACAACTCAATTCATCCGCCAGAGTTGCTCTTCGTAAAACATTTATTAATTCATTTTAGGACTCATCCCATAAACCAGCTCGCAATGCAATACATATACATAAACTTTCACACTACCTGCATAGCACGTTTTCTAAAACATCCCTAAATAAACAATGAGTAGTAAAGGCTCAATTCGGCTTTTTATGTAACAATAATGCCATTTCGTAACCCATACTATATATAATTCATATTGCTTTCAAAATATGAATTTACAAACTCAAAGAAGATACAGTACAACTCACCTGGAATACCCAAAAATCAAACAACGCGTAGCTATACGAGCCAACAATCTTGTAATCCTAATAATTAAATGAGAATCGACGTCAAAATTAAGTAAAATACTACAAATATTACCAATCGGCTAAATCGTGCTTAAATGCTAACAAAACAACTCATTTTGCGTCAACAAATTACACATCCAAAGCGATTATTCAAGCCGTTCACAACGCGAAACTCGCACGCGAAACTCTAAAATTCTCCCTCCGATCAAACTGTTGCTTCAAGTTGACTCCTCTCAAAACCCACGGCTCCACAACGTCGTAAACCATCATTTCCATGAAATTCCATAGCTTAACAACTCAAAAATCCGATTTCGTGGCTCTAATTTCACATAATTCCGAATTTAAGCCCTAACCCCAAAAAGTACTCTGATCGGAAAAACAAAGGGCGCGAGCACTTACTGGGCGTTGTAAATCAAAGTTGAATCGGTTTGGCGAGGTGTTCATAACGTGAACTTGCAAAGCCTTTTCTCTCCTTTCTTTTTCTTCTTCTTTCCCATATCACCTTTCCTTTTCTCTACGTGCGTTGGTCTCTCTCTTGGCCTCTCCTCTCCCTTTTTAATCAGCTGAATGTCCAATTTTTCTTTTTCTTTTTCTTTTTCGTCTTTTTTTGGTTCCCACCACTATTCAAAAAGATGCAAATGTTACATATATAGTTCCGAGGGGCAAGAACATAGGCAGAGGATATAGCTCACTGATGACTTTGCTATAGACAAGCTCACCAACTCGTGCTTCTCCGAGATCAAAACCGATCTATCATTTCGTCATGGAATCGTTTACGCCCAATGCTTCGGATATAGGCGATAACGACGGAGCAGATACGATAATGGAGGAGGACGAAGCACTACGAAAGCGGTGGGCTGCCATTGAGCGGTTGCCTACATTCCGACTCCTCAGGACATCACTCTTTCACAGCGAGAATGAAAGCACTGGCACTAGGAATGGTGAAGAAGGGAAGGAGAAGAAGGCGGTTGACGTTGCCACGCTCAGCTCCCTCGAACGTCATCTGTTCATCGAGAGGCTCATCAAGCACATCGAGAGCGATAATCTACGCTTGTTACAGAAACTGAGGGAAAGGATAGACAGGTATTGCTCACTAACTCCAAATTTTTTCGGATATGGCGCAACTCTTTGGGGCTGGTCCAGTGGCTGGTCTTGTCTTTAGTATGTTCACTCATCCTAACCAACAAGCTCCTGTAAGAAAAGGAATAGTGAATTTTCAGTTAAGACAAATTGACTAACTTTTAATCATTCTTCGGCAATTTTCTTGGCGAAGAATCACAAACTTTGCCTTCTTTTGAATGACTTCCAAGCTGCTTTCTTTGAATCATCATACGAATCATGTACCTGCTAGAATTGTGAATTTTCATCTTCATTCATACATTTTGTCACCTATTTTGCTCCATCTGTATACCGAAACTTCTTTCAGTTTGCATCTTGTGGCCACAATCAGTTTATGTTCCGGTCTCACCTTTGACAATCAACGAAGGCATACGTATCCTTAAGTATATGCATCTTGGATCAGCAACTTCACAACTAGAAAATGTTTCTTTTCCAGAGTGAATGTGAAATTACCTACGGTGGAAGTGAGGTACAACTGTGTCTCGGTGGAAGCAGACTGCGAGATAGTACGAGGAAAGCCGCTTCCTACACTATGGAACTCTCTCGCAAGCTTGTTATCGGTAAGTAGGCATCCACACTCCTAATTTCTTTACCGCTCTCATTTGCCTCATGTCAAATTCAGTACCCTTTAGGCCTTTTTCAGCTGACGTGAGTTAGTGGCGAATTGAAGATTAATATCGAAAAGGAACTTTAACTATCGTAAGAATAGTTCTTCAGAATGATAATCTAATGAAGGGTATTTTGGAACAGATTCCCGCAAGGACAATGCCGTGCAAGTCTCAGGCTTCCAAGATAAGAATTCTCAAAGATGTCAGCGGAGTCATCAAACCATCAAGGTTACGAGCACGTCCACGATCTTACATAACAATACCGGAGTCGGTAGCAGAAAGAACTATGTCCAAATATCCACTTCCTGAAAAGTTTATCATTCCAAATGCTATTTGATGCAAAACATAAAACCCAAGCGGGACAATTGGTTACTAAAGAGTTGCGTGAATATCATGATCGGCCCTAAAGTCATGAATGGAACGATGCTTATCATAGTATAACATATTTTGAATTCCTTGATTAGAACTTGAACCACAAGGGAATAGATTCTTTCCTCATATCTTTTTCTTTTCTCTGAAGTTATAGGTAAGCGAAAAAGTAGCCACAAATGTTGCTAGGATTCAGGTGGACAATATGAACTGCTAAAATGCCTCTGTATGCAGGTTGACTCTTCTACTTGGTCCTCCAGGAAGCGGGAAGACTACTTTGTTAAAAGCTCTGGCTGGAAAGTTGGATCAGTCTCTTAAGGTCAATTTCTCCTAATCATAAGTTAACTATCATGCTCAGCGGCCCCAAAAATGAATGTCCCTAGAACACGCGAATAAAATTAGTAGTGCAAACAATTTGGTGGTCTACATGGAGCAAAGTAGCTATTCTAATTGGACTAATCAACTTCGGATTTCCAGTCATACACTATGCGAGATATTTTCTCCAAATTTGGAATGAAATGTATAAGTGACAAGATAAATCTTTAGCCTTTATTTATGTTCTTTGAATAAGGAATTCTCTTAATTGTTGATACTGCAGTCCATCATGACATAATTCCCCTACATTTCCTCTTAGGTTACCGGAGCAATCACTTACAATGGCTACAACCTTGATGAGTTTGTCCCACAGAAGACGTCTGCTTACATAAGCCAACATGATCAGCACATACCCGAAATGACGGTGAGGGAAACCATCGACTTTTCAGCACGCTGCCAAGGTGTCAGAAGCAGAGCAGGTAATGATCCTTTTGTTTTCCTGTGCCTCATTTGAGCGCTGCTCTCATGCTAATCTCACTTATATTTCATGTCCACACCTCATTCTTCAAAGAAATAATGGCGGAAGTCAGCAGGAGAGAGAGACAAGCAGGCATCATCCCTGATCCTGACATCGACACTTACATGAAGGTAGTCATGAGAAGGTTCAGGTTCTCTTTTCTGCTTTTTTTCTCCAATGTTTTAGGTCCTCTACTAGAGACTTTTCTTCTGATGATATATTAAAAGGACAATTCATTTCCAAACAGGCAATTTCCGTTGCAGGACAAGAGAGAAATCTTCAGACAGACTATGTCTTAAAGGTACATACTCGAACTGCACTGAGGTATTTGTCTTCTCTTCCTACACTTTGCTAATTGCAAAGAGAAGAAACTAAGAACATAAAGCTAAAGGCCAAAAGCTGGTGGAATGTGGTGCTTCCATTCTGTAGCTGGCACAAACCTATTCTATTATCCGGCCAAAAATGGAAAAATGGAAGAAACACTGAATCATCACTCCGGCAAAATATTCAGGATGTGTATAAAAACTGAGTTTTCCCATTTTCTTTTTGCTACTTTTTAAAATAAATCCATGCTTATGTTAATGTTTAAGTTACATCTTTCAAGAGGCAAGAACCAATTCAATCATGAATCATAGCGAAAGCTACTCATGAGCAGGGAAAATATAAGATGCACTAACCCAAGCGGATGTTGTCTAATTTTGTTGAAACATTATCCCACATCGCTTGACAAAGGGTCCTAAATGCTCTTTATATTCATGTGACCTCCTTCCACCTATCAGCTTAAACTTTTGGATTTGGACTTTCTAACTAATTCAATGCTCATTTTACTGCCTTTCAGATACTTGGATTGGATATATGTGCTGATATAATGGTTGGAGATGCACTGAGGAGGGGCATATCAGGTGGCCAAAAGCGAAGGCTAACAACAGGTGACACAGGAAAGCGAATTTACATATAATACGAAATTGGTAATGAAGCCTGTATACTAAATGAAGTTAAACCAGCGATCCCACCTAAGGGAGAGATAGATTGCAATCTGAAAATGAGAAGCTCTTTAGAAACTTTTCTTGGTTTCCTTCTTTCTGGCAGGAGAAATGATTGTTGGTCCAATGAAGACTCTATTCATGGACGAAATCTCGACAGGATTGGACAGCTCCACAACCTTCCAAATAGTATCCTGTCTTCAGCACTTGGTGCACCTCACAGATGCAACAGCATTTGTCTCACTCCTTCAGCCACAACCTGAAACCTTCGATCTGTTTGACGATGTAGTATTGATGTCAGAAGGAAAGATTGTGTATCAAGGCCCTCGAACCTATGCACTAAAATTTTTCCAGGAATGTGGCTTCAAGTGCCCAGAGAGAAAGGGCATAGCAGATTTCCTCCAAGAGGTGCAATAACTACAGAAATTCCTACACTTCACTGACTTATAAAACTTTCCTAGTTGCTTAAGGTTGGAATTAGTAATTTTTAATGCAGGTTATGTCAAGGAAGGATCAAGCACAGTACTGGTCTAGCACTGACGTTCCATATAGCTACATTTCGGTGGATCATTTCTCCGAGATGTTCAAGTTGAGTCATGGCGGGGAAACATTAAACCGTGAACTCTCAGTTCCTTGTCAGGGATCTCAATCTGACGACAGTGCTCTATCCTTCAGCACCTACTCTCTAAGCAAAAGGGAATTGTTTAAAGCCTGCATGGCCAGAGAGTGGCTTCTGATGAAACGAAACTCGTTTGTGTACATCTTCAAAACAATGCAGGTGATCACCTACTTTTTCGGGGATGCTTCTTCCTTTTTACTGGTCTCTTGCATTGAACATACAATTCTAATAATCCCCTTCTCATCCAGCTTGTGATTACAGCATTCCTAGCTATGACGGTTTTCATCCGAACTGAAATGGACGTGGACTTGACCCATGCAAATTACATCATGGGTGCTTTATTCTATGCACTGATCAGGCTCTTGACTAATGGAGTTGCAGAGCTGCCTCTAACCATCGCTAGACTTCCAGTATTCTACAAGCAAAGTTCCTTTTACCTTTATCCAGCGTGGGCTTACTCTGTCCCTGCATCAATCCTGAAGATCCCCCTTTCATTGCTCGATTCGGCGCTTTGGACTGTAATGACTTACTATGTCATAGGATACAGCCCTGAAGTGAAAAGGTCAGCATACAATGTGACAACATTGAACAGAAAAAGAGAAAAATGCTTTCTAAATAATCTATGTTCATCGGAATTGAATGAATTTTTCACAGCTCTGATCACTTTCCCCAGGTTTTTCCGACATTTTCTCCTGCTATTTGCTTTGCATCAAGCATCCACATCCATGTGCCGAACAATCGCCGCGGTTTTTCGCACTGTAGTAGCTGCAACAACATTCGGTTCCTTAATGTTACTACTGATGTTTTTGTTTGGAGGCTTCATCATCCCCCGCCGTAAGTGGACATAAACAAAAATTTTGTAGGTTGATTTTGATGATAAAAAACCAGAGTGGCTTAGCAAAGTTTCGGCCGCCTGCAGCTTCCTTACCACTGTGGCTGAGGTGGGGATTCTGGATTTCTCCGATGACGTATGCAGAAATCGGTATCTCACTGAACGAGTTTCTTGGGCCGCGCTGGAACAGGGTAAGTTTGTGATTCCTTGAGTCCCCAAAGAAGTATGCAGTGAATAGACAATCTCTACATCTTTCTACTCGTTTTTACATTTCTTTGGGGCTAAAGTCTTTTTTTTTTTTTTTTTTTTTTTTTTTAATCTTTACCAAAAAAAAAAAAAGTTTTCGAAGGGAAACACAACCATTGGAAGGGAGGTTTTGATCATCCACGGCCTGAATTTCAATGGGTACTTTTACTGGATATCGTTGGGGGCATTGCTCGGCTTCACTTTTCTTTTCGATCTCGGCTTCATCTTAGCCCTCACCTACTTCAAAGGTCAGTTCCTTTCACACTTGTAGGAAGATCATGTACACCTCTATTAGTTTCTACAATCATGGTCAAATTGGAAAAATTATGCACAATAACCCCAACAAACTCTTGCAGCTCCCAAGGTGTCTCGAGCCATAATTTCGAGCAAAAAGATCTCGGCAAGATGTGCAAAGGGAGTTGATAAGAATAATATTCCGATGGACATTGATGCTGAAGCTTCTGTGGAGAGGAGGATAGGTGAGGAAACAAATTTTGAATCTAAGAAGTTCTTATCTTGAATCTAACATTATGAAGAATGCATGGCTGCTGCATCATGAGATATTGGTTTTACTTTTTCCCAGGAAGGATGATCCTCCCATTTGAGCCACTCTCAATAGCATTCAAGGATGTGCACTACTATGTTGATACACCTCCAGTAAGCACACACAAATTTCTTACATATCTTTCTGATAAATTATTACATTAAGATCGAGTTTATTTTTTTCTTCAATCAGGAAATGAGAGCGAATGGATTTAAAGAGAAAAAGCTCCAGCTGCTCTGTGGCATTACCGGAGCATTTAGGCCCGGAGTCTTGACAACCTTAATGGGCGTGAGCGGTGCCGGGAAAACCACTCTCATGGATGTGCTTTGTGGAAGAAAAACTGGAGGCACGATCGAAGGGGATATAAGAGTTGGAGGGTTCCCTAAAAATCAAAGGACTTTCGCCAGAATTTCTGGGTACTGTGAACAGTTTGATATACATTCTCCTCAGATTACTGTTGGAGAATCAGTGAAGTACTCAGCTTGGTTGAGGCTGCCTCCAGAGATTGATTCGGAAACGAAGGCGGTATATCATCCTCATACTTGCTGAAGTCACTACTCAACTTTTATTTCTGTTGAAGGGTCACATCCAACTTGAGAAAATTTAGACAGAGTGAAAGTCACTAGTCAAGTGTAGTAAAAGAAAAATTCTGTCCTGTCATTTGATTTAGCTCGCCGAAAGTTAAAATTCACCTTTATAAGATAAGGTGGTCTCGGTTTATTTTCTATGCAGGCATTTGTGGAAGAAGTCCTTGAAACAATCGAGCTCACCGAAATTAAAGATTCTTTGGTTGGCATCCCGGGACAAAGTGGCCTATCAACCGAGCAGAGGAAGAGGCTGACTATTGCCGTAGAGCTCGTTTCCAATCCATCCATTATATTCATGGATGAGCCAACATCTGGTCTTGATGCCAGAGCTGCAGCAGTTGTGATGCGTACGGTGAAAAATGTTGTTGCCACAGGCAGAACAATGGTGTGTACTATCCACCAGCCGAGTATTGATGTTTTTGAAGCTTTCGATGAGGTGAGTCTACTCTCGAAAAACAAAGATGCAGAAAGAACGTAGGCTAATGCAATCGACTTGATAGGCTTATTAGATAAAATTAAGTTGCATATTATATTTCGGTAGAGAAGTTACTCAGATGTACAATTTCTGTTTTCTGCGAGTTGATTTTGTTATATATTACAGTGTCAAGATTCTACTCTTGCAGTTGATTCTGATGAAAGTGGGAGGACGAATAATCTATTCGGGAAACCTGGGTCGTCATTCAAGTGAACTGATAGAGTACTTTCAGGTGTGCCTACAATTTACTACACTTCAATTCCCTTCAAGTACATTTTGTTCTTTCACGAGAATGAAGACTTTCATTGCCAAATCTTGTCTGTCAAGAGATATCTAGCTCAATGGAGCAACATTTGTGCATTCTGTAGTATCTCCAAAAGAACATGTGCAAATAAGATCTTACTTTTAGTGAGCAAGAGCGAACTCATTTTCTACCCTGGTTTTCTTTGATTCAACATCTGTAGGGAATCCCTGGCGTGCCAAAAATAAGCCACAACTATAATCCAGCAACATGGATGTTGGAAATTACCTCCACATCAGTTGAAGAGCAGAACGGCATAGATTTCGCTGACATATACAGGAATTCTACTCATTACAAGTGAGTAAAATGAACTCCTCACGCAAAGCAGCATCTTATGCAAGCAATATCGATGTTGCTAACAACGTTTTAATTGCTGAATCGTCAATTTGTTTATAGGGACACTGTTGAGCTGGTTAGGCAACTGAGCGAACCGCTTCCAGGTTCAAGAGATCTTCAGTTCTCGACCCGCTATCCTCAAAATGGACGTGTCCAACTCGTGGCATGTCTATGGAAGCAACACTTGTCGTATTGGAGAAGCCCTGGATACAACTTAGTGCGCTTCATGTTTATGATTGTAGCGTCGCTTCTATTTGGAGCTCTGTTTTGGCAGAAAGGGCAGCACATGTAAGTCGTTTGCATGGTAGTCTATAATAAAGACACATGGCACAAGTGCTTAATTCACTTCAAATTAGCAAACACCTGATCTTGCACACCTATCTTGCACACAACTGAAGGAACTATGGACACCTTATAACATCCTCTGTTCTGTCCGAAACGTACTTGCTTCTGTTTCTGTACTTGCCAGTTGCAATCCTCAGCTGGTTTTATCTTGCAGTTTCTGTTGTTGTGATATATAGGTCTCGACTCAAAAGCGTTTCTTGTCTACTCTCCTGCAGAGAGGATGAGCAGGACTTGTTCAACATCTTTGGCTCCATGTATATTGCCATCATATTTCTAGGAATCAATAATTGTTCAACGGTGCTACCGCATGTGGCAACAGAGCGGACTGTTCTGTACCGAGAGACATTTGCCGGAATGTATTCTTCTAGTGCTTATTCTCTTGCTCAGGTTCGACGAGAAAAAGAGACTTTGCATCAATTTTTCTCTGATTCAATTGACGAGCAGTTTGACAGGTCGAACTTTTGATTGGTTTATAGGTGATGATCGAAGTTCCTTACATACTTGTGCAAACAGCTTTGTACGTGGCCATCACATATCCTATGATAGGGTACAACAGGTCGGCCTACAAGGTCTTGTGGTACTTCTACACTACATTCTGCACATTCTTGTACTTTGTGTACCTCGGGATGCTTATGGTTGCAGTGAGTTCAAATCTTCAAGTTGCTTCCATATTGGCATCTGCGATCTACACCGTACTAAATCTTTTCTCTGGCTTCCTTATGCCGGGACCGGTAAACCTCTCCAAACTAACAATGACATATCCAAGTTCCAAGCAACCATCTGCAATACGATTATTCTTGCAACATAACAATTTGGTTCTTGTTTCTGCAGAAAATACCAAAGTGGTGGATTTGGTGCTACTGGACTTGCCCAATGTCGTGGTCATTGAGTGGCTACTTAACTTCACAGTATGGAGATATGGAGAAGGAGATAATCATATTCGGCAAAAGAAAACCTATCAGTTCCTTCCTAGAAGAATATTACGGTTTTCGAAGCAACCGGTTAGGCCTTATAGGTGTTGCTCTTATTGCTTTTCCAATAGCTTATGCATCTCTATTTGCATACTGTATTGGGAGGCTAAAGTTTCAGAGGCGCTGATATCAGGGATCTCAACTGTTTTTCTCTCTTGTATGCAACAGCAAACGCTTGGAACTAGCTCATATTTTATCTAAAGTTGTCCACAGTAATACGTGTAATGTATAAACTTGTTAGACGCGCCAAATTTTGTTGTTGCCCAATAGTCTCAAGCTGCCATCCCATCAGTCACTTTTTGGATTCTGCAAGCGCTTTCCCAGTCAGCGTTTGATCAACGAGGCGATCTAGAGTGGAAGTCTTTCGAGGATTGCATAGACTACATGCCGTTTTTTCAATCACGAAAATATGAAAGAAACAGAGATTTGTGCACTGAAAATTCTAAAACTTGTCACGAAAATTTAAGTGAGTCCTAAAACTTGTCAAATTGGTTTAATTGCGTCCTAAAATTAACACCGTTTAATTTACTAACAGATTTACTAACAGATGCTGACGTGTCTTATTTTATTATTTTTCTTGAGATACATGACAATGATGTGGCATCCAACAAGCGTCACGTCAGAAAAAGTTAAAAATACAAATTGAATTAGAAAAAAGCTAAAAGTTTAAAAAAAAAAAAACCAAACCCACAATCGACAGCTGTGACCAAGCCCTCGCCAATGATTGCCGCCGGGAAGGGCCGGCGGAGGTCGTCTGGGCCTTCCTAAAGCCCAATGACCCTCGCCGGCCCCGGCGAGTGCTTGTAGCCCTCGATCTGGGGGAGGGCGCGACCCTAACCCCAAATCTAAGCGAGGGTCGCCGGCCCTCGCCTGGGGTGGGTGATGCTGGGTGAGGACTCAATTGAATTTTTGGAAATTTTCAGGACTTAATTGTACTTTTGTGATAAGTTTTAGAACTTATAATACACTTTTCCCTAAAGTACTTGATAGATATAGGACAACATTTATAATGGAACAATCAATAAATAACATTTACAATAAAAAAAAAAAACCTCAGATGAGCCGCTGCTGCTGGCCCCCACCCCAAATGACCACTGCAGAGAGTGATCATCACCGTGGCGCGGAGAGAGAGAGAGGGATTTGGTACATGCAATAGATAAATGCTCGTGTGGTAGATTCTGATTGATATGCAGAAGTTCACCAGTTACACTAAAAAAATGGTGGGATGTTTCAGCATCTGAAGGGATTTGAGATTGACCTCAAAAATATTTTTTGTGAAGAAATTGATAAACAGAAGTCCAATCCAAGCATTTCTTCCATATCACATAGTTACGCTAAGAGGCATTCCAAAATCATTGATTCGAATTGACTATAGGGTTCATTTGCAGATTCCAGGACATTTTAGCATGGATATAGGATCTTAACAAACAGTAAATAATGTAAGTAACAATCTTCATGAATTGACTGCTGTCGGACTACACAAGGTCCCGGTTTGGACAGGCCAAAACCCAAAGCATTGCTCCACATAAGATTGTGACACTACCATGTGCAAGCCTATTTTACCTTATTTTGTTCTATGTATCAACCAACACCACAATCAAAACCTGACAATCAAACAACATCATGATAATCGATAGTTTGGTCACTAAACCACTTTATTCAGCTGCTTTCTTCCCCAATCTATGAATATTACAAAACAGGAGAATAGAAAGATAAGTACCAAGGAATAGCCGAGCTTGTTAAGATGACTTACAGCTTGTCGTCTTCAAAAAGGATGCCTGAGGTACGAAAGAAGCGGGGATTTTCACTTCAATGGCCATGTTAATGAGGACACAAAGACGTACACGAATCATTAAGAACAAAGTAAACCCACATTTTCCTACACTGATTGATGTTTCTGTATAGTAAACTTTTGTCGGTAAGCAAATTGAACTACAGGCACTAGTATTACACAAAGGATGTAGTCTCATGGGGAATATAACTCGCGGAGATCGTGTTGCTCCATGTATTCCGGGGTACATGGGGGAAGGATAAAATATACACTGAAAGATATCGGGCTGAACCCATCAGCTCCACCCATATTTGAGATCTTCCCACAGGAAGGGACGGAAAGTGCAGCGCACCTCGGGCAAGCTCTTGAACAGCAGAGCAGCGCATACGCACACGGCAGCGATGGCCACCAGTGAGACCATTGCTGGTCGGGCCACAAGGGAAGTTCTCGTGGATCTGCACGGGATCTTCTGTTCGCACAATTTGCAGTGCAGTCTTGACAGTCCATGTTCGGTCTTATTACTCTCCAACCTGAAAGTTTTAGTTGATCCTGGCCCTTCTAGTGGTTTCTGCTTGGAGTTGGTGGGGACATCGAGTATTACATGCCCTCTCTCAGATTTTCCAGCGGATTTTCTCTGGACTAGATGTATATAGGAGTAGTGACCTTGTAGGCAAGCATAGTTATTAGGCGTCAAACCCGAGTCATCACGAGCACTCTTCCATGCTTCGATACCGACCTGAATCGGAGCAAATAGCATCACTTTGTCATTAAAATTGTAAATCAGGCCAGATAAGTGATTCAACCCATGTGGTTCCTCAATCAAATTTCAACACAAACTTCTTGTGACAGGACATGCTCGAAATTATGCGGACATAAACCTTCACCTTTTGAAACGTCACTAAATTAAGGTTCAAAGGGAGATGAAGCAAGACACTATCCATAAGACAGCTAATGACCTATGAGAAACAGTAATCTATTGTTGAGTAATAAGCAAAAACTACAAGGCAGGACACAGAAAGCATTGACTTGTGCACAAGGAAGAAGCTATGTCACGACATTCGAATTTCCAAAAACCCACTAAATGAAAAGCATACATAGAAAGAGACTAGGAGATACCAATAATGGATCATTTGTTAGGGCATCCAAGACAAGTTCGAATCCCTTGCTACTAGCTGCAATATGAAGAGGAGTCAAACCAGCAGGCCCAACAGCATTTGCTTTGAATAGGAAGTTCCTGCGGTTCTCTGAAATCTGTTGCGCTTGCTGCAACCCTGCCTTATCTGAAACTTCAGGAGGAATGTATCTTAATAGGAACTCTACCATCGCCTGACAATTTCTCCGCACAGCCCTATGGAGGAGATTCATTTCCAACATTGCCAGATCTATGGAAGGATGTTCACCAGCATCAACTACTCCGTTGAAACAAATTCCCAGCAGTTTCTTTACCACAGCACACCAGTCATGCTCCATCGCGAACTCCATTAGCCACTTGAATCTTCTAAAAGGGAAAAGACCCACGTTGTGATCCAAGTCACCAAGCCTATGCTTCACGTGACTTCGGTGCAGAAGCCAACCAATTTCATTTATAAAATCAAGGGCTTTGCTCCTGGCTTCAGCCATTTCAGGTTCCTGCTTGATGTAAAGCGGGGTTTCAAGTGCCTCAATTTCACTCTCAAGCATACGGATCTCAGAGCACACTTCCTCCTCCGCAACAATAAATGGAAAGAAACTGCAGCTAAGACCATGGTCTTCAACCTGTCAATATGGAACCCTCATGTAAGACAACTCACCAGTAGTCCAAAGTTGCATGGTTTTCATATTCATATATCAGACTAAAAGTTATTTTTATGTCTTCCACAACAGGAGTTCAAAGGTGAAATAGGGGCAGAGTTGAACAGGTTTTTCTTCTACAATCTTATGTTGATGATAAAGGAGAAAGTGTCTCACAACTGAAGCATGTATACCGTCTATAATAGCATCCATCTGAGGATGAAACCATGGAGGGCGTGCTCATATGGGAACCAAAACGCCCAATCTGAGCACATCGACTTGGGATAAAGACATTGCTATTAGAATTGCTGGCTTTATGAGACCAGAAAATATCGTACAATAATTTCCTCATGGCAATATTTGTTAAAGCTCCACGCCACACCCCTCAAACTCCGACAAGACAACAGTTGGTGGATGGCTTTAAAGAACGTGAGCATGAGATGTTTAGCATATGAAAAATTGAATGTGAAGAAGCATAAAACAGAACAGTGATGAAACCTCAATAAACCCTCTCCCACAAGTTTCTGGGACAGAACAACAGAAGCTGAGGAACTGGATTTCATCATCCTTGTCCTCATTAATCATTTCAGCTTCTTCAGTGGGGCCACAAAAGCTTTTCTGAGCAAGATATTTCCCTTCGAGGGCACAATATAACCTGCAAACAACTTAGGGAAATAAGTTCTCGTGCATAAGCAGGATATATCCACCAATTTGATATCAATAAACATTGTTTAGAATCTTATTACCGAGCACCATACAATTGGGTACAAGAAACAGATAAATAATGCGTGCAAAAGGAAAAAAGAGGTACTTTGAAGTGGGCTTGAAAAGGTTGAAGCCTTTGACCACAAACTCAGCACTCTGCATTACTGACACGGCAATGGGTTTGATGCTTAAGATCTTGCCACTATTATGACCCAAAGGCAGCGGGGTCCCTAAAATGATTTCACCTGCAGCACAGAACAAAATTTGAGATTCTTTTTGGCCCTCGGATTTTCAATTTATTATTAGGACTATTGGAGAAAGGGAAAGAAGAAGAACGATATGAGAACTCAAGGGGCTTGATCAGAGATTCCCAATGAGTATGCATGAAATCCATCGACAAACAATCACATAGAGATAGCGAAAGAGATGTGTAAACTTAATCTATTAGACTGAGCCAATCACTTACCAAGAAACAATTGGATCCACACTATGTCCCAAAAAAGAAAAAAACACACACACACACATAGGTCCCATGAATTTCGTCAACTGTGATCTTATCTACCACATCATCTATAGAGTGTCTTTTCAATATATTTTGCGCGAGAGAGAGAGAGAGAGAGAGAGAGAGAGAGAGAGAGAGAGAGAGAGAGAGAGAGAGAGAGAGAGAGAGAGAGAGAGAGAGAGAGAGAGACCATTGTAGATAAATGACACAAAATCTTGCACCCGTGTATAAATCCACCCCGTTTGCCAAGAGAGAGAGAGAGAGAGAGAGAGAGAGAGAGAGAGAGAGAGAGAGAGAGAGAGAGAGAGAGAGACCATTGTAGATAAATGACACAAAATCTTGCACCCGTGTATAAATCCACCCCGTTTGCCAAAATGAATCATTGGATCCATCCAGAAGCTTTCTTAATGTGGAGCCCAGATTCCAGTGAAGCTTCAGCAAGAATAGTAGCATGATTAAGTTTAATCATCCCTTTTTCACGAAAGCAGATGAGACAGATCTTA